ATATGATATATGTGTCATTTAAATTGTCCATGATTTCAATCCTTCCCTGAAAACCCTGTGTCGTCTAAAGATTCGGCGTCGGTTGTGCCTCAAAGTATGCAAGGCGACGGCCATCTTTTATGTAAAGATCGCTTTGCGACAGGTTTAACCACACGTAAATAACGTTCGCGATTCACACGCTATGTACGACCATCGCAAAGTACGATTGTTTTATGAAACGGAATTTTAGCGTTACGTTTGGTTAACGTTTAAACGTACGCTAACGATTGTTTTATGAAACGGCAGCCCGGTATTTACAGTTGGAAAGCAGGTCACGGTTTGACCCCAAGTCTATCAGCAACAATAGAGTCACGTGACCGTGAAAATTCAGTAAAACTACGGATGAGACAAACCTCACTTTTACTCACTAAAATACCACTGTCATGGTAAAAACTTATTGATCAAAATAATCTTGAATATACATAGTTTTAACTCGTCAAAACTTACACATCAACTCAAAGTCCTTTATTCTTTATTTTATCTTCAAACTTGAAGTTTGTGTGAAAATTGTCAAGGCTCCTGATCGAAAAATCTAAATATTTTCGAGGAAACTAAAAATGATGGGCTGAATTTAAATTTAATAAAGCATCTCATTAAGACAAACACTCGATATGAATATCTAGGCAATACAGTTTTGGATACGCAAACGTCAAGTTATGTTCAACACGAAGCGGTGGTTTTTTTGCCGATTTGTGCAAGTGGTTATCTCCCCTTGATATCATCAGTCAAAAATAAAAAACCACCAAAATAAATAAATAGGAGTTTATTTTTACAAAAATCAAGAAGAAAATAAAAGAAAATCGATTAACAACTATGTTATAATAATAATGAGAAGAGATACTTCCCTACTTTTCAGAGAAGGATTACAGGTAAAAATTAAAAGACAAAAAAATGGTAAAAATTAGATCTAGAAACCTAGCTGAACTGATACTGTATAAATTAGCTCTGGCTGATGAAATTTACTTTCAGTTTGCAATTTTTATAATGGAATATGGGATCACTCCTAGTGGATTTTTTTAACTACTTCTAACAATGTTTAATGCAATAAAACATGCTGTATACAATTTAAATAATCTTTCTGAAAAAAAATAGTACTGACCATTTATATTTTATATTTCAATAAAGTGGGACCAAGAGTCAAAATTTAGTTTCTTCAAAGTAAAAAAGCCTTTTAACTCAAGCCTATGTTTCTTAGTTGAACAGTACAGTACAGCCTAGAAAATATCCTACAGAAAAAGGAAAAGTTTACCAAAAAAATGACAAAAATTCTGTAAAAAAAAAAATGCTTAAAATTATAAGTGAAAGTGACATAATTTTGAATTTTAAAATCATTATTATTGTAAAATTCAACTATTAGATTAGCTAGCACAGTAGCCTTTGTCCAATTTCTCAGGGTATTTTATAGATTATGAAAGTATATATTTGTTTAGGGGCCAGCTGAAGGACGCCTCCGGGTGCGGGAATTTCTCGCTGCATTGAAGACCTGTTGGTGACCTTCTGCTGTTGTCTGTTCTATGGTCGGGTTGTTGTCTCTTTGAAACATTCCCCTTTTCCATTCTCAATTTTATCTTTGAAAAAAAATGGGGCTTCTTTTCTTCGGGTTGCTGTATCTGCTGCTTTACATATTTATAAACAAAGTATTGAATATTTTATATGAATAATCTCAGAAATGAAAGTTGGTACTATGACAAATCTTGTGCATTTTACTTTAATAATGATCAATGATGATTAAATTTGACAAGAATTTGCCATTTGAATAAATTCAATTTTGTAAGAACACATCTCTATGAATTAATTTCTTGTTTGACCTGAAAAGCTAGTGTTTGCTCCTATTAATGTAGCTTACTTAGTAAAGAGATAATTAATAAGCAAGGTTTTTAACTTATAAAATATAAATATAATTAACTGACCTTCATTTCCTTTTTTCATATGTTTTTTCCTCCAGAAATTTTCTTTGCAATGCATTTTCTATTGCTATTTTTGTGCTTTTGTTTATCCATAGGCCATCATTAATTTGTCATATTTGTTTCCAGTATAAATGAAATGTTCTTAGACCTATACTATAGTTTCAAACGCCATAAAGAAGAACTTTGTTTGTTGTTTCACTTGTCCAATGTGTAAATTTTCACTATGCACATGACCTAGCTGCGGAACCGTAGCTCTTAGGTCCTTATGCTATTTTTTGACTATTTGCGGACCATCTATGGTCCGCAAATAGTCAAAAAATAACATGAGGACCTAAGAGCTACGGTTCCGCAGCTACACATGACCCTGACACATATTTTGTAAACGTTATATGACGTATGTTGAAAAAGAAAACAATGTCACCGTCAATTTGTGTAGGGGATCAAAAAGGGTTTTAATTACTTTAAAATGGAGTTATCGTATGAAATTGTGAAAAAAACAATTTTTAATCACAATTTCATTCATATCTATAATAAAATCAATATTTTAGAGTACTTTGGAAACATGTACAATGAAAAGAAGTTGAACTTTACTGTTTTGAAGTAGAAACGCAGCCAGAACCAGGTACAAATTGACATGACTGGTGGTCACCAAAATTGATGTATAATAGTAAAAAATGATGGCTTCAAAATTGTGTAGAAATTTAAAATAGTTTACCCGGTTTCATTTAAGATTATTACCGTTCTATTCCGTATTTGGATACGCAAACGTCAAGTTATGAAAAATCGATGTTTTTGGCGAACAAAAAAGATGGCTAAATTTTTTTAGAACGGACAGGATAAAGAAATAGCAATAACAAGCTATTTTTGATAATGTTTGTATGACGTTTTGAATCTATATTGGTCGCAAAACGTACAAATTTTAAAATTAAATTATAATAAAAGCATGACAAGTTGAAATAAATACTTTAAACGTCAATCTTTTAGCCGATTGATTTGGCGGACTTTTTGAAGTCACGGCAGACTGTAGCGCCACCTAATTAATTCCCCCTGCTATTGTTGCTGATAGAACTTGACGACAACTGACGTTTCCAAGGACTTGCTTTCCAACTGTTTACATTTGATTTTTTGATTACGGAAACATATTTGTGACGTCACCTTGTTTCGTTGCCATGTCAAGACAATAACATCATTTCGCGGAATTTTCGTTTTATGAAATTTTAAAATGAAAAATAAATTGAAATGGACTGATTTTGTTGTCTGCTCTATGGTCGGGTTGTTGTCTCTTTGACACATTCCCCATTTCCATTCTCAATTTTATAATTTGTTTATTTTGCTGTAGAATAGAGATAAATATATTGTATCTGAAGCTTGGCCTTCGTAAACTGGGGATTTTGATGTCGAAAATTGAGAATATCTGGCAGTATAAATAAATTGGTCGTAACGCGGAACAGCCGTTTATGTGTATTGCTGCGTTTGCGCTAAAGGTAGATATATTGTGATTATACTAGTTGACGATATTAGAATTATAAAGAATAGGGAAAAAAATGAGAATACAGAAATGAAGGACCCCCATCCAAACACTAATGAAAGAAAATGACCAGTCCTTGATTTATTATCCTAAGATATGTATTGTGCATTAATTCATATAAATGCTATTGACCTTCCAATTTACTCTATCAACATATGAAAGACATGGTTAAAAAATATGTAACAGTATTTCTTTATTTTTGTGAGTGTCACGTCATCGACTCTTAGCAATACTCATTTTTGTATGACGTCAGAGGAGAGAAATTCACATGTGAAATAATCGGTTTTCATTTAACTGTTACTGGTATTTCATCATATTGCAACCAATTTAATAATGTATGATGTATGTTCCAATTGCATTGCAAATTTACAAAGTAACTAAGGTTGATCATCGGTATATATTTACTCTTATACTTTTGCAAAAATGAAGATTTTTCTATGCTTTTTTTCAAAAATATAATAAAAAGTATGGGTCACCGTGCCTTTTTTCAAGCTACAAGTCGTTCAAAATTGCCCTGCAAAAATTGTGTTTGGAATTTTGAAATAAGATATGAGAAGATAGGGTTTATAAAATAAAAAGAAAAAAATGTTGTCACCGAACTTGTTTTCTTACTACAAGTAAAAAAATAATATTTCCCTATCATCTTTACATTCCAGTATGTTTTGCTATACACAAAAGAGTTATCTCCCCTTAAATTTCCAAGTTAAAAAATGATTCTAAAAAACACAAATATTTGGTTTTTGTTAAAACATTTAGGATGATGCAATAAATCCTTAGTTTTATTTATACAAATAAACAGTCAATCCAATAAATTTCAAATCTGTCTCCAAATTTGCAGATTTAGGCAAAGAACTAAGAAAAGTGTCGGATCACCCTATAATTGACGAATGGGTGTAGTCAAGAGCCAATGAGAAAAAAGTTCAACAAACAAAGGGGTTGGGTGAAGGTGAAATGGCAAAGAAAAAAGCGGTAAAATCAGAGACATATAAAATGAAACTTCTTATATTTACCCTGCATTAAACTGTTCTCTGGTTTGAAATCCTCTCCATCTCGATCTTTTTCTGGGGCTGAAACCTAATCACTTTTCCAATGAGGGGCGGTAGGACGGGGTGTCATCCCGAATTCCCGAATAAATAAACATTCTTTCCCGTATCCCTAAAATGATTCATTATTTCCCGTGTCCCCATAAGTGTTAATCCTGAATTCCGGGGAAAATATAGCCCCAACCCCGAATTCCCACAAAAATAAAGACCCAATCCCGACGTCCATTAAAAGGCTCTCCCATCCCTTTCTCATCCATTTCCTTTTGAAACTGACTTATCCTTGGTTGAGTTTCATCAATTTGCCCACTGCTATTTGTTTTGCCTAGTCTTTCAATACTGTTTGAATTAAACGACCCCCTTATCCTTTCCTCTTCCTTACAACATACGGGTTTCTCAGACACCCTTCCTTGTCAAGCCAAACAGACGAAGGACAGGGCACCAATCTAAGTCTTAACATATCTAGACTTTCGATAATCTTCTTACCAACTTGATCTGGAGCTTGGTCATCGTCTACATATCCGAATAATACCATTTGGTAAGTATCCCATGTATCTCCATCTTTTAGTTCTTTGTCGTCGGCTTGACCTTTGGCCTCTTGCGTCAGATCTAGTAACTCCCCTGGCTTTTGACCTGGAGTGTAAAACACGCAATTTTCATTATTATTGGGTCATGGTTTTTGTCAATTATGTTACTGATTTCAGTGAATTTGCCACTTATGTTCAATAACTTTTTCTTTTCTTAGCTTTGATGAGAGCTGATGAAAACTTACTCTTATGAATAAAAATATGGATATATTTTTAAACCATTACATGAATGGTACCAAAACGGGATAACACGACAAATAATATCTCTACAGTTAATCCACTCCGATGAATCTTAATTATCCCCAAAATATGAGGAAAACAATATTGTGGTCAAGCAGATGACAAAAAGGTAAATATTCCGAATCCAAATTTTCCCCATACCTTATAGTGTTAAATTTTGAAAAAAAAAATAATTTGATTGAAAGCGTCGAGAAACTAAAAAAAAATATTCGCGCTTTACACGAAAAAAATTCTGACTCAGACAAAAAAAAAACCACAACCCTCCTTTGAAGTTAAATGGTTGCTCCCGAATAACAAAAACGTCTGTTTTTTTTTATATCATTGGCGGTGTTGATGGATTTAATTAGTTAAGTGTATTAAAAGTGAAAGTCTTTCGATATAATATTTTTTTAAAGTTTCTCTATTATTTTGATTTATTTTACCTTCACAAAATAAGTCGCCTTTCGGAGCAAGTAGCTTTAAAGCTTCTCTCTCTGCTTTCCTTGATTGGTTTCTGCGGCCGCTTCTTCTACCCATTCTGTTTCGATTTTTACTTAAGAAAATGTTCAGATAGGGTCATAAAAAGAATATGTTTGTTTGCCCTCACACTACCTACCCAGAAAATAGCTGCCTACTCAAAATCTTTGATTGTCCTGACGTGAAAAAGTTTTTTTTTCAATCTGATAGACATGAAGACTTAAAAACCTCTGACACTTCAATTTCTCTTTGTCGAAAAAAAAAAAAGAAAATGCCTACCTACCTACCCACTGTCTCTACCTTTGGGTAGGGTTTGGGCAAACCAAACTATTTTAAAGTGTGGCCTTAGATATTTGAGATAGTCAATATGGACAAGGGGTGTCTTTATCTCTGTACATTTCTATTTTTTTATGCCATTATCATTTATTCATTAAAACAATGCCTTTTTCTTAAAATTCTCTATTATGATATATTCTGTAATCAAGCCTGCGTTTCACAAAAATAATTTAGCCTCCTAAAAATTCTTCTTATTTTGTTCATAGTAAACGGGCGTTTATACTGAATTGTTTATGACTTTACTCATAAGATGCTTTTATATTCTTTATTCTTTATATTTCAGCATCGTATTTTTCCCAATTCTTTTTTTTTGTAATCAGGCCTCGGTTTCACAAAAAAAAACCCAAAAAAACAAAAACATTCGACTTAAATTCATCCTAGTATACTGAAGTGTTCATAAAAACTGTGCCACACCCGGGCTCTCGGCCATTAAACTTAATTCAGTACTCGGAGTACAAAATCTCTGCTCAAAACACCAAATCCAGTATTTTGATTGGTTGAATTCTGAGTCGGAGTACGATAATCCTACTCGAAAGTTTTATGACCGTAAGGCCTGGTCTGTGTTTATATTACTTGTTTTTCTTCTTCGTATCGATCTGATGAGTTAAGCCCTTTTCAAATGCTTTTTATAGTTTGTTTTTATGTTTTACTGTTGCATCACTGTCCTAGGTTAAGAAGAGGGTTAGGCGCCCGCAAATATATTTAACCCTGCCACATTCTGTATGTGCCTGTCCCAAGTCAGGAGCCTGTGGTTCAGTGGTTGTCGTTTATTTCTCGTTCATTATTTTGTACATAAATCAGGCCGTTAGTTTTCTCGTTTGAATTGTCTTATTTTTTTTAAATTCGGAACCTTTTATAGCCGACTATATAGTATGGCTGTGGTCATTGTTGAAAGCCGTACGGTAACCTATAGTTGTTAACTTCTATGTCATTTGGTCTCTGGTGGAGAGTTGTCTCTTTGACAATCATACCACATCTTCTTATTTTTATCATAACTTATTTACAGCCTGCTGAATATTCAATCATCACTATAACGAATAAAAATTAATATGCTCGCGTATTCGAAAATCCTATACTAGCGAAATTTTGCTCTTCCTCAATTAAAATTAATATCATGCTCGCGTAAATGAAAATCCTATACTAGCGAAATTTTGCTCTTCCTCTTAAAATGCAAGCAAATGGGCTGTACTTTGAGGACAAGCAATATACGATAGATTAGGCATCACCTTTGTCATTTCAAAGGATTAAATTTTGTTTACCAACTAGATTTTAAACACCGAAAAAAATCCCCCCCTTTTACCCGCCACCAGCAAACGTGAAAGATTAGGCTTCTATCAAGTTACGTGAACTCGATCCAGAAGAGAGCCTAATTGTCAGTTATCGTATTAAGGAATAGTCCATTTGCCAATTACCAATTTGATTCTGTTATTACACACTTTTTAAACAAATTACTTCCCTGGTCAATCGTAGACTGGTTCTGTCGCTCGTGGTAAAATATTTAGCATAAAGGGCCAACCAGTGGTAAAATCCAGTATAAATTCAAGCCCCCATGAATTATTACTTAAATATCATATATGTTTTATATTGATTAGAATTTTAAGGAACTTTTGATAAATTTGTAACACTCAGAAACGTGTCCTTCCCCCCAAACGTGTCCGATTCCCCCAAACGTGTCCACATGACGCCCCTGAACTGCAAAACAAGTCTTAATATAAAACGGCGCCAAAGCGTGTCATTTGTATAAACGCCCAAACGTGTCCATTTTTTAATAAACACGCAAACGTGCCCAAACCCCCCAAACGTGTCCATATCAAGCTTAATTTTTTCTTTTACTGGAACTATCATTCGTGTCCATATCATAAATACGTAGGTTATTTTTAGTTATTGTTTTTTTCATTAACGTATACTCATTTTATTATTTCATTGAAAAATAGAAATAAATTACTTAGGTCTTTTTTAAACCGGCAGTATAACCTGGTTAAAAGTGGGGGCGTCCGTTCGGCTATGTTTGATGTAAATGTAAGCAGCCATGCTCAGTTAAATTGTAGATATTAAATCAGATACCTCGTGTAGGGAGAATGTCCCATTCTCTGCGCATTAAAAACTTTGTATCAATTCACTCTTTCATGGTGCCATCAGTTGTATTTTGGAAAGCAACATTTTTTTTTAAATTTCTGCAACTTTTTTTTTAACACGGCCTCTATTACATAACGGAGATTGCAGTAGTTTTTTACTGAAGTCATAAAAAAATCGGTCTTCACTCGCTCTTATTTATTTTTTAGATTAAAATCCCAACTAGTGTTAATCCCGAATAACCGTCCAATCCTAAATTCCCGGTATGATAATAGAGCCTATATACAGTATTTTTTGTTAACATGATGTCGTTTAAATATTGCATGAAATATTTGGCACTGGACGTTATTTCTCTTGTTCGTGTGTCTTTAGTGATCCTAGAAACCTAAAATTTATTAAAAAACCTGAAAACCAGTTAATGATTTGAAGAGCTTTTAAATTATCAGAACTATTGAAAAAAAGGGAAGTCAATTCTTCTGAAAGCCCGCCGTCGGATTTATAAAAGGCATCATCGGAGTTTACTAGTAACACATAATTTACATAGTAAACGATTAATTCAACTGCACTAGAATTATTTGTATGTTCGTTCTAGTAAATGAGCATGGAATACTTGCAACTGGACAATAAGCAAATTCAGTCAAAAGTTAATTCATATGTTACATATTAAATTTGCAATTATGATAATCATTAACAACCGGCATTGAACAAACTAATGCTAATAAATTACTACCTCATCAGCTGTTTCCCCCATCATAGAATTGCCGTAAACGTTATTGATTTCATTTAGGACATACATGTATTAGCGCTACAAGACGAGAGACGTGCTGGCGTTCAACAGTGGACACGTTTTGGCGAATAACAATTATCGGACACGTTTGGGGGTCATGAAATCGGACACGTGTGGGCAACATTGAATATTACGGACACGTTTGGGGGGAATAGACACGTTTGGGGGAATCGGACACGTTTGGGGGGATGGACACGTTTGGGAGTGTTACAAATTTACCACTAAACGGACACAACTGCAATATATCAAATTCAGCTATTTTTTTAAACATAGATCTACAACAAATTACAGTAAGTTATGCTATCCCAAAACTGGTAATTTTCTTCTTCTTTTAATACTTTTTTTTTTAAAGTAACTAAACAAAAACTTACGCTTCTTGAAGTAACTGATAAATCAACCTTTAGATCACTATGCGTTTGCTGAATGATTCTTTATACCATTTGCAGGAGTGAACTAAAAGAGGTTGTCACAAAAAACGATGGCGATTTTGCAACGACGTTGCTACCACGTGACAAGGGACAATCGATCATATGATAGTACGTGATGTAATAATCGATCAGTTGCTACCAAGTGATAACACTGGTTACATAATGTCTTTTGTATGGAGTTTGTAAACAAGGATCCAGACTTCGTTACCCATCGGAAATTTGGAATAGAATTGCCATTCTCTCTGCTTTCCTCGATTGGTTTCTGTGGCCGCTTTTTCTACCCATTCTGTTTCGATTTTCACTTAAGAAAATGTTCAGATAGGGCCATAAAAAGAATATGTTTGTTTGCCCTAACACTACCTACCCAGAAAATAGTTGCCTACTCAAAATCTAAATCTTTTATTGTCCTGTCTTAATCTGTTAGACATGAAGACTAAAAAACCTCTGATATTTCAATTTCTCTTTGCAGAAAAAAAGAAAATGCCTACCTACCTTCTCACTGTCTCTACCTTTGGGTAGGGTTTGGGCAAACCAAAAGTATGGCCTTAGATATTTGAGATAGTCAAGATGGACAAGGGGTGTCTTTATCTCTGTACATTTTTATTTTTTTATGCCATTATCATTTATTCATTAAAACAATGCCTTTTTCTTAAAATTCTCTACTATGATATATTCTGTAATCAAGCCTGCGTTTCACAAAAATA